TAAATCTCATGGGGTAGAACAGCTACTGTATTTGCCGCCTGCTCCCTAGGATCCCAGTTATTTCAACTACAAGTCGTTACAATGAGAATTTTAGTGTTTTCGATGGCAGGCCAGTATAATGTTAGCGGGCTCTTGAGAAAACTAAATAGCTGAATTATTTAGCCAAAACCCAAGTTCTCCCAAAACCAGATTTAAGCAGTGCATGCAGGTGAGCCCGTGGACATGAAAGTAGGGAAAAGTAGGGAAGGAAGGGAATAAGAACAACACAATGTAGTAAGCAATGTAAGTAAATGAAATGCCCATGGGATTGAGCTTCTGGGAGAGGGACTGTATTAATTTCGCTTGTCAAAATTGTGTGCATTAATGTCGACTTTATCGGTCTCAGGTAAGCAAAAGCTACAAATTTCCGTGGTTTCGGAATTTCATCGGTTCCGGTAACGGTGAATAACCAGTTATGGTGACCACTTGGCCATGCCTCTTATTTCCACGTATCTTCTGCTATTTATTCCGCTTTTTGCACACTTTCGCACCTCGTCCATATCTAATTTTACATAAAGTTAACGCTCATTAACCGTTACGTTGGACAATCCAGCCGGGTGTGAATCTCGGCTTCAGTTGTGAATGACAGGCAGTAGTGGAATCTTCCGTCTCTCTTTGTTTTCATTCAAGAATCTTACCGACGTGGCAGTTAGGTGTGACTCACCGTGACTTGCAAATAGCGCAAGATAGGCCTGTTGGCCGGTATCAGTTGCTAAGTACGTAAATTTATTAATTAAAGGAGTATAAGCATTTTGCGGTGTCACAAACATTTAGGCGGTCCACCAAAACTTGGCAAACAATGCACACATTAGATATTTGCCGTGGTGCGTTTTAACCAAGAACATCACGGACAGAAACTGCCCTACCATGCGTCCTACCTTATTATCAGAAACATTTAGGAATAAAAATCGCATGCAACATTACAAAAACCAAACTGCGACTGCCTTTCAAAAACGGTAAGTTCTGCTTGTAACGTTTTCAGACAACGTAAAAACTGACATAATGTATTCGGTCATATTATAATTATAAAGATCAGAAACCTGATAGAACTTTAATTTATCAAACTACATTTAGTAGGTGCGATTTGGTGTAGTTCATATTTTCACCTTTTTTCCTGAATTAAAGGCGCTCCGCGTCGAAAATTGTAAGGCAAAACGCCAAAAACCTGATTCTTGAAAACTTTTTTTAATGGCCGCTTCTGATTTTCCTAAAATTTAAATGTTATTATTTTAAACATTACACAATCATAGTTTTTATAATGTGGCCAATATTATTTCGACGAATTTGCTTACATTAGCGTTATATTTTTCTATTGATATGCTAAGCACTTGGAAAATTGTGTATTTCATGAACATTGAGTAATGACAGTCATTTTTTCCCTCGCACAGCGTCTTAAAAACTAATTTGTTGAAAATGAAGAATTCGGACTTAAAAACTCATCATATGCGTGCACCTACTTGTACTCTGATGGTTTGCTCTTTTGGTATTATTGCTAACATCTACCGCTCATTGTACTTAGCAACAACCACAAGCAATGACTTCTAGTAAGTTTGGAAGCAGTTGTGATTTCATATATTTTCTTTAACTGACCATTGTTGTCAAAACATGCATTTTGCCCAGTTTCCTGATACAACTGATCAAATTGTGTTCTAAAAGTAAACACAAGATGTCGTTTCTCAATAGGTCTGTCATTGCCGCTTATGGAATTCAAGTATACTTACCTACTAAAATGTGCATATATGGACAATTTCCATATATCATAGCATCACTTGGATCGGCCGCTGCATTACATAATTAGAATCAACTTAACAAAATGCGTTAAAACATTTCAGTTTCTTATTAATCAGTCAAACGCAGTCAAAAATTCCCGAAAAAAGTGAGTTTAATGAAATCAGCTTTGTATTCCTAAAAAACAGACATGGGTTTGTTTAGCAAGTCTCAAAAATCAAAATTAAGGGAAGCATATAATTACCGAGATAGCTATGGTTACTTTTTACGCACACGAAATCGACACAGAAGTCTAATTATATGTTTCTAGTGTAAAATAACATGGTCTTCCAGAACGTAAGCCAAGTCATTGAGACTACGAGAAAGTTAGCTTTTCTCTTTTTAAAGAAATTAACGTTTTGGATTCAAAGAAAAATATTTATTTTCCACGACATCAGTCAGATAAAGGAAAGGCGATCCGACCACTGAATGTAGAATTTAAATGACGCTGGCCAGCTACTGTGCACTTAAAGGAACGTACGTATGAGTGGAACAAATAAGTCAAATTTGTCTGCATTCAAAAGATAAAGCCCAAGATTTAAATTGTAATAAACCATACTGAAAATTATACAAGTACGTCTGACAAAATAACATTAGGCATGAAATCTAGATATTTTATCTTAACTGACGTTTTTGATGCCACATTGCAACATAACCATCGTCGTTTCTAATACAATTTAGCTGATTTTCGGATGTCTTAATATGTTTCAAAATCGACACACCATATTTTTGAACCTCCTTTTATTAGTCTGATTCTAGATTTACTCAGGAACCGAACTCTTTTTGAACATCCTATGTATGTATAAGCGGGTTTGTTCTACGACAGTTAAGACTGTCCACCCGTATGCGCGGGTCACTTTTAAAGACAAGTCATTCATTATTGTCAACGTTTCTGTCAGCAAAATGTATTGCAAGCAACTGGAGTTTTAGTAGCGTACGATAGCAAATTGTATCTCGATTTACTGTATCTAAGCCGCCTCTTGATGAAATGAAATCATTTTTAATAGCAAAATGTCGGCGTTCTACCGATTAAATCAATGGAATATCATGGTATTAGAAATGGCAGAAGCCGTTTTTAAAAGGTGTTGAGCACGTTTTGTACGCGCAGATAACTGGAATTTAAAAATTCACTGCAGCATATTTTTTAAAAACTAACTCGTGTTCTGGAAAAGATAAAGTCATTTGATAATACTTTGAGGCGCTTACCTATTTATAAGGTTTAGCCCATTTGTGCAGATTTATTGCTTCTTTCTTAACGCTTCTCCTTTTCCTGTTGTGCCATCTTAACTTTAGATCGCCTAACTGTCCTAGATAAAAGTAGAATGGCCGCGTTCTATGGGTTGCTGAGTTTAAACCACCAGGAGGCATTAGGAGGCACTTATTTATATCTTATGGTAGATATTCTTTCGGAAACGATGGCCTGCGTAGAATTTTAGAGACTCGGTTTTATGAACTTGGTTGCAAAATGAACTTACATTATAACTCATAAGAGGAATATTTAAATGGGACACCGGGGTGCCGTAATACAATAAAACTGGAAATTTAAAGATCCCTCATTGTTTGCCTTTTCAAAGGAAGCGGTGTTTAAACTCTGCACAAAATGCAGTCCTCAAAATTATCGAATATGCCGAGGTAAAAACATTAGAAGTCCGAATACATGTGAGAAATTTTGCGACGGCTAGTATGAACTGAACAATTAAAAAAATTCCAAGCGTTAGGTTTTTTCATCTCTAATGTCTAAACGGCTAATGATGCCGGATATCTGACTACGCTACAGAAATCCCTGAGCCATAAACTGCAGAAATTGTGCCATTCAAAAATATGCCGATCCTAAGAAACCGAATGCGCGATAATGCGCACCGTAAACGCAACATTTGTAAATAGTGCACTCTATAACGAATGGGCCGATTGAGATGACCCACTTTTTACGCAAGCACCTTAGATTATTTATCTTCACTGGAATGCTTCTTTTAGCCGGATAGGAACTCTTTTCTTGAGATTGAAGTTCAGAATAGCAAGCTAGCTTAAATAAATTACTAAATTAGTCAGGTCACTAAAAATGTTGACTAGAAAAATGGCAGGACTGTCAACAGTCATACTCAACTGCGATACGAAAAGCATCCATAAAAACTAAGTATCATGAATTGTTTAGAAGATGGCTTTACTAGCATAGTATGCAGCATATACAGCGTGTTTCTACAAAAAAATCTTTAGCAACGTAAGAATTCCGTTTCGATAGCCACCTTGATTTAAAAATAAAGAGGATTTTTGCTTTACCCCTGAATTAACGCGAAGGCACAGTTTCGTTCGAAAATGTTTTGCTTCTTTATCAATCATTTCAATAATATTATTAAATATTAACTTGATCATGATATCTGCTTTATGCCTGTCGCGCGTAATACTCGAATTCCTGTCGGTACATCCGTAACTGAAGTTTTAGCTCGGGGAGAAGGAATTTTGATTTTCTTAACATCCCTTAATGGTGTCTTAATTCTCAGTCGTCCAGCAAAGATGGTGTCGTCTATTTTAAGTCGTTAAGTGTTTTTTCAGTTTGTTTAAAGTGCAATCATCCAAAGTTTTGAGTGAAGGCCAATGTCTAGCAAAAAATAAACAGAGAGTAGATAACGATACGTCGCCAGCGTATGAGCCTTATTTTTACTATCTAATTTTAAACCGAAAAGTCCGACGCATCTAGCTGATTCAAAGCAACACCTAAGTACGGTGTCGTTGAACACCTTATTTCGCAAATGAAAATGTGCGTGCTATTTAAAAGTTATTAAATTATTTTTTGAAATCACTTTCTTTGCAGAAGGTGGCTAACGCAAAAAATATGAAGTAACGTATAAATGTGCATTTACTTGGGAATGTATTCAACATTAATGCATATAGAGCCAGACAAGAGAGTTAATTCTGAAACAACATTATTCAAAGCCCTGGATGGGGTCTAGTAGTCGAAGCATTCCTTCTGCAAGATAAGTCGTGAGTCACGTGTTCTAACACACATTTATTCTCACATTATAATGGTATTTTCAAAATTTGCACAATTATAAGGCAATAACACAAACAAGATATATTTACATGAAACAACCTCATTTTGGTCGTAAATGCGACAAATATTTAGTTCTATTAAAAAATTCCTTTTCAAATGAGAAACACTCGTGTATATCTCAGGGTAAAGCATAATTGTATGCAGCTTAATCATAGTTGGATGCATAGAATCTTGACGCCCCAGTGGCATTCCAGGCCAGACCGCGGCGAACTCCGTGAGGAACGCGACCTCCAATCCATCCGTTGCCAGCCTCCAGATCACGTTCACTTTCAAAGGCACCGAAATTCGGCCCCATGGTCAATCTCCGAGCCAGGTTCAACATTCGACCGCCACTGGACTGTGTCATGCGTCGAACGGCTGATAGCTCTTCAGTGGCCCTATTCAATGCTATACTGAGACGCCGGAATTGGGCTGGATTTACACCTGCACTGATGCTATCGGTGGAAATCACGGGCGTCGTGCTTGATCCCATCCTTTCTGTTTGAGTGGAACACCTGGGTAAAACTTGTGTGACCGTAGCGCAAGCGGACGACTGTTTTCCACCCTCGCCATTATCCTCTCTATAGGGGAAACGAGAGTCGTTCGCTGATTTTCTTTCCTGGCCCGGACATATCTCCTTTTCTGTTGACTGTGGACAGTATTTGGTGACATCTGGACTACCGTCTTGAGGCATATTAAAGGCAATTTCTCCCGGCTTAAACTTGTTAGGCATGCTGCGAGTCCAGAAGCAGGATTGAAGAATGAGACCACAGGCCGCAATCAACAGCAAGCAACCGGCCACAAGGAAAGAATTTACGTGCAAAAAGTGACCAGTAAGAATGCCAAGTATGCCCAAAATAATGCTGACTAGGGGTACGACGCAGACTATGAAAGAATGCAGTACTTTTAGGTACTTTCGAAAACGCTTTCGCCGTCGTGTACGCTCATGCACATGACGCAGGTAGTTGAGATGTGCGTTGGGATTTTCAGCTTCTGCGTCTGCTTCTTTCCTCTCCTCTGACAGTGAGGTGAGTGTTGACAACGTCGTAGGTGAGGTGCGACTTGAAAACCGTGAATCCTTTTGCTCATCGTTGTTGCACTGGTCGGTAGATGATTCCGGTAGGCTGGTGGTGGAGGCTGTACAGAGATTTTGCATGGCCGTTTTATCCTCCGATTTCACGCTTATTGGCATCAATGCAACTGGTGCCGCTTTTGACGCCTGCTTTTCTGTCATAGTTGACGTTGATAAACCAACGGAGGCGGACTCTGTGACCAACAATTCCGGATCCTTTTCATTAACTTCACCATTTTCAGAGTCGCTTTCTTCACTGATACTGGGACCATCGTAGATTGTTGGCAGTTGGGGCTTGACGTTTCTGCTATCTCCGTGTAGGGGGAGCTTCGGGGTATATGACGTTGTTTGATTATTTTCCATGTCTCACTCAAAACTCCGCAGAATCACTTTATCATGTCATTGTTGCAAAAGTGATAGAATTCGGAAAGTCGGGTAGTCTTTCACATTTGCCTGCTTGGATCGCCTGTTCAGAATGTACAATTTATATGATGCATACAGTTTTAGGGAGTACAGACTATTGTCTTCGTGTGTATGCGACAGTTCCGTAACTTTGCTTGGATTGGCCGCTCTCTCCAGTCGACGTCACGAATGCGTCCAATCATATAATTTGCACCAACTGGCTGAGGTTACACAAACGGGCGTTGCAGACCGTTCAGGAGGCGTGCCGATGTCGCTAATAAATTCTGACTGAGTGGAAATCGTAAATGATTAATTCCTCCGTTGCTTATTCGCAAACATCCGAGAACAAGCATGCCCTGCTTCCCATTGGATATACGTGGAAAATACCAAAATGCGACCTCGTCGGAAATCTGGCCGACATATATAAGAACCCACTAGTTCTAAACTGGACTACATTTTCCACAGATATTTTGGCACTCTCTAAGGCTGTTGCAATCAAAATAGTCTGCTAGTGAAATTTTACGGACAAAAGACCTGTTCTTCATCAAAAAGCAGTCATCAAATTTCTTATTTCTTTTTTCAGCCTAGTTCCTCACTGTTTCTCCACATAAATACTACTTCCAGGTTTATGGGATAAAGAGTGAAACAAAGTTTTCCGCAGATTCGAATGATGTTTTTGACCCAAATGTGGACAACTCGGCAGCCTCCTTGCGATTCGAAACTGCAAAGGTGAAAGCAACGCTTGAATAGTGCTCACGCTCCGACCGCCTGAGTCAAGAGGTTCCACACAAAATCATGAGTTTAATCACGCTTGCCTGCCAAGCTCACTGCGACGCGCGAAATCCACCCTATCTGCTACAGTTAGTTAACTGTTCAATCTGGATTTTCTAAACAATCAATATGAAATCTACCAGATAACTACCATTATCGCTTAATTAACTGCTAATTTGGGGAGAATTGTTCAGATTATTTGGGCAAAATGGAAGGAAAATCAGGACTAACGGTCGAGGTCACGTAGTTAAAGGGTTGCCTGTGCTCAAACTCTGTCCTTGTTGTCATGGATTCGAATCCGACCGAAGTCGCTGCGTTTTTCACAACTGAGTCAAGTGACTTATTCAAGTCCGCCAAAAACACCTATTAATTACGCGAGTTTTATAGTCATCTGATGGATTTTAGATTGGTTGTTAAGAAAGTCCTGCTTGCACAGTTAACTTGCCGTATCGGATTTGATGAATTCCATGCGTTGCAGAAGGCTGGGCGGGTAACTTCATCAAATGTGGGACCTCGTAGTTTAAGCAGTCTGAGCGTTACCTGTACTCAAACCTTGTCTTTGCTGTCGTTGTTTTGAATCCTACCAACGTCGCCGAGTTTTTATTAACTTGCCCAAACGAAAGATGAAGATGGCCTTTAAACAATATACCAAACATACCATCAGCTGCCTTGCATTTTGTAGATTGATTGGTCTGAAAAAAGATGGCTATTGCTCTGACGGATGTATTATTTACAATTTTGATTCATTCGTTATCCGCAAGATCCCTAACCATCGTTATGCTGCTTTGAGAAACAAATGGGTATGTAAAAGTTGGTCAGGACACTAATGTAGCCTCATGAGTAAGTTTGTTGAGCCAAGGTACATAGAACTATACGGGTTCGCGATATGTGTGCGGTGGCGCACATACAAAAATCTTAATCGAAGTAATGTGAGGAGGAGACTTAGCCATTAAAACAGTAATTTCACCGTTATAGTAATTTTGATTATTCGATATCTTCACCGGAGTTTCCAACGGATAAAGTAATAGACGCACAGGGATATAGCTTTTATGAACTGTGGTTATTATACAGCCCCATGAATACCTTAAACTGCGATTTCCGCATTCATCATCAGTGATCTCACTTAGTGCATTGATGGCATTATTCCCAACATCCAAATCCTTGGATATCGGCATGGTAATTACTCGCAATTTTGGTTGATGATACTTTCATTAGAAACGATGTTTGTCAAGAGTCAAATATTCTGGTCAGTCTCATCACAGCATTCGTAGCAGGAGGTCGCTCGACTTGCTAGTAAGTTGCGAGTCAGTGAATCATGTTTTAAGTTGGTTGCTTTTATGCACTTCCAAACTCTAACAATAATCTCAGTCTCATTAAATTTTAAAACTGTGACTGGGTCCTATCGAATGGGTCACTATCTGAGAACTGTCTTCATCCGTCTTCAGCTCTGTTGCATGTACAGCCGTTCACGTCCATACCAGCCCTGCAGTTCTTCTGACGTAGTCGCCTTACCCACGACTGCACCAGATCCGGTGAACGACTACAGCCATTTCTTGTAGTGACAGAGGACCTTTCGGTCTCGTTATCTGGCACCTGGTTCTTGCGACTGGTCTCTGCCCAACTTCAAATCCAAGCGGTGTAAGGAGGTGGTTAACGGCTTTCGAGACATCTTTGGCATACGGGAGCGCGCCAGAACTTTATAGTTCAAACGACTGGGGTGCCTCCTCACATTTGCGCTTGCGCTGGTAAGCCAAGAAACAAATGAAACCACCTCCCCTGAGCACCCCTTGAAACAACATTGTCCTCCTGCAGTATTTCTCAACAAGCCGCTATCACGCCCTTACGCAACTGTAGTTAAATGAGCGGTTGCCGTTGAAACTCAGAATATGTATTGTTTTTGTTGTTTATCAGGACACTTTTAGACTCTGAAGTAGGCAAGAAGGGCAGGATTTATTGGTACCAAAAAATTTCGCCACGGCTCACCAGCTGCATCCTGTCGCTTCATAAGAGAGATAACGAGTGAGAAGAATATAGCAGATTTGAATTCCTGCAGAAAATCAATGCAGAAAGAGCAAGGTCAAGGTTTTGGTTAAAGCTGGCTAATCAATAAAGTTAGTAACTCAAACACCGTAGGCCAAGAAAGTGAAAAAAAAGGGGAACGTCAAAGAGCAAAAAATGAGAAAAGAGAGGGGAATCATGGAGCTAGATGCTACCATGGCAATGTTAGGTTAACCACGTGTTCCAATTGTTTACAAAGATCTGGTTTTGCTCGACGTATATAGGCGGCCTCCAGGTAACGCCGGCTACGTTCCGCCATTGAAAGGACATATAATGCAGCCGAACTGGTATTATGCAGTCCTACTAAGCCACTTCGGATTCCACGGGCAAAGGATCTCTTGACAATGCACGCCACTTCAAATTGTGTTTATGAATTCACATGCACTTGCGGATGCAAGTACATTGGGCGCACGCAAAGGCAGTTGGCAGCCAGGTCTATTGAGCACCTGCCCAGATGGTTCTTAAGACAGGAAAATAAAATCCCGCGTTCTTCAATTACGAAACACCTGCTTGATAGTGGTCACTCCGTTGACCCCAAAACGTCCATCCGAGTACTTGTTCGGGCACGAACAACTCGGACATTGCGTTACCTGGAGGCGGCCTATATACGACGAGCGAAACCAGATCTTTGTAAACAATTGGAACACGTGGTTAACCTAACATTGCCATGGTAGCATCTAGCTCCATGATTTCCCTTTCTCCTCTCTTTTTGCTCTTTAACGTTCCCCCTTTTTCACTTTCTTGGCCTACGGTGTTTGAGTTACTAACTTTATTGATTAGCCAGCTTTAACCAAATCCCTGACCTTGCAGTTTTTGCATTGGTTTTCTACAGGAATTCAAATCTGCTGTATTCTTCTCACTCGTTATGTCTCTTTTGAAGCGACAGGACGCAGCTGGCGAGCCGTCGCGAAATTTTTTAGTTACAGTAAATCCTGCCCTTCTTGCCTACTTTAGCTTAGTACCGGAAACAAAATACTTCAAATTTTTAAATCATATTTTAAGACCATTACAACCTTGTTAACAAAAGAGGTTTTCAAGCAAAGGCACCTGGCTGGTCTCTACCTTTACTATCGTCAACTTTTTGTATGGGAATGATGGCGTTTATACATTCTTTAAATGCTACTGCCTGATCCTCCCTCGATGACGAAAAAACCATCATCCATTACTCAAGCACTGAATTTCGTTTATAGTGTTTAAAGTCTGGTGATCTCAACAATTGATAGGTTATTTCGATTATGAACTCCAGAATCGGTGAACCACGTGGCGTCTCTTTGCCTACTCATGATCGTCTCGATGGATAAAAAGGACTTTCTGAGAGAGAAATTCAGAATTTTAAGGAGTTTTGCGTGTTTGAGGTGATTTTTTTGCTTTTTATTGTTTGCTCAACTGCCTTAGCCTCCAAACCCTCCGAACTAGGAGAAAAGAGAAACTTTTACCATCGACATCATGACCTCGTTTGACGGGAGGGTTGTCTTGCTAGATTTTTGCAAGAATTATGCCAACGAACTATTTGTGGTACTGGATTCAGCAGTCAGAAATCTGAGACGCTGGGACAGCAACTTCGGTTGTTCGTAGGTTGGAAGGTAGTTGAGTGGTGAGATAGGTCGGTCATGGCATCCTACTGTGGTCCTTCGTAAGAACATGAAATAAAGTCGTAGCCGTTTTTTGATCTGCCGTCATGGCTCGATCGATGGAAGCCATCTCACCTAACTTCCCCATCGCCAACAACCTTGCGATACTTTTATGTTTTGCAATGAACGTAGGTATGACGATACTTAGAAAGGCCTTTGGCCTCCTGAAAGCATGACTATGGCGAACCTCTTGTCCGCACGCACGATCACTTCTTTGTCGGCCTTGGTGCGTTTCTTTTAAGCTTTGAAAGAGTTTTGCGTCCTATATGGCATATGATACGCGAAGCCAATTGATATCGAATAAATAAAGCTGTTCTTCTCGCCCATTACTTCCGTCTGACAGAGGACTTACGCCATCATCGCGATTGTGTTGATAAATTTGACCTTACCTGTTCCGAGTGAGGGCCAGCACCGTAGCACACCTCTTTTGCCTACTCAGACGATAGGTTGTATACCAGTTTGTTGCGCTCGGATAATGTTAGACCAGGCAACCTAGGGGGC